AAAAACCCCTCAAGAACAAATGCAAAGAAAGGATCAACAGGTATGCTTGTTTGCTTGGGGGTGGGTTCCATGTGGGTAAGTCAGCCCGAAAAATTGCTGGAGAGGGGCGTGTTGCCTGAGCTGAAGCCGCGTACTCGCCAAGGGGGGGGGGTTCCTTGAGGCTACTGACTGTAACTTTCACCTTGCCCCAAACAGGGTGGAATGGCTTCGCGGTTGGAACCAAAGGGGTACCTTCCCCATTTTGGTACAAATCCAAATCCACATCCAAACCACCCACCAACGGCAGCCTGCTGGTTTTCTTTCAACCTGATAGTTACTTGGGGGGGGGTCTTTGAGGTCGGAAAGCAGCTTGCAATGTTGATCCTCTGGAAAGCCTTGCGGCAGCCCCCTCGCGTGCCATGCGCTCAAGGCCCCATTAGTCCAAGGAAGACCTGCCAAAAGCCAGTCAGGAAAAACCAGAGGGATCCAAAAGGCTGCCGATTTAAAGCTGTTCCACATGCCATTTCAAGACAAACAATGCTTCCGTGATGTCCCCTTCCATCGCCCATCCAAAGAGAAGCTCACCTCAAAATGCCCAGAACATTATGTCTCAAAGAAACGTATTAAAACCACATGTTTGAACCCATCTTTGAGGGGAACACATGGCCGGAACCTTGAGGTTCAAAAACATGTTCTGATTTGTGTAGGGAACATCGCGGGGCCCAACTGCGGCAAACACAAATCGCAGCCCTCTCTCATGTGCGATCTGTCCCCGAAAACCAGCCAGTCATAGAAACCCACGGTCAGGTGGCAGTGGCTCAACAAAAAGTACCCAAACTGGCCTGGGTAAATGGAAACAAAGACTAAAACCATTTGACGGTCAAAACATGTACCGGCCCCGACATGGAAACAAAGACATTTCAACCTGCGGTTTGCCCTCAGCTCTCCCCTCCCCCCCTTTCCCTCCCCTTCCCTCCCCTTCCCCGCTCTCCCTCCCCTCCCCTCTCCCCTATTTTGAGCCACCATCTTGAGACCCACGAGCGAAAACCCCACGCGGGGGGCGCGCCTCGGAGGCGGATACGGAGCCCAGGTGTTCGAAGTCCAAGCGCTCGGGCGGCAGCTCGCTCCAGACCAGCACCCCGCTCTCCTCCACAGAGACCTAGCGACTTGCTTCCACCGGGGAAAAAGCTTGGTTGACGTTGGAAGGGGGGCAAAATTTTGAATCTTAGCAGTTCAGTGGGGATTTTTCACTAAACCACAATAAGCAAAAATGTAAAACGCTTCCCAACAACAACCATGAAAGGGCTCAGTGACACCCTCAAAATGACCCAAATGGTCTCACTTCCTGAGTCGATGGGCCCAACAACAACCAAACTTCTTGATGAGAAATGAATTTATATTGTGGATTGGAGTCCTCTTAGAAACCACCCGAGATACCATGGTTGAAGCCAGAACGTTTGTTAGGTATACTTACGCTGGGCTTTCAAATCATTTCAGGGTTTGTTCGGTGGTGCGAGATGGATTTTGTCCATACACAGTAGCGGCTTACACCGGGCTGGGCTCAGTGCCACCAACTGGTCTCCCATCCGATCGAGTGGTTGGCCAACAAGAAGTCCGAACTTTGAATTTGCCACGGTGAAGAGACGTATTGAGAACCTGTCAACATGCAAGCAGTTTTCTGCCACGGTTCCTGGATCCTTAAAGGATACATATGACACATGCAAAACAAAATCTGCGAGTTGGGAAACTTGTCCACAATTGCGCTGGCAACAAGGCCGATCGGTTGATGCCAATTGCATCGACTACCCCCGAAACCTGGGGTAGCAATTTGAACATTACCCGCGAACCTGGGTTACCCCATCCAGGTCACAATCTGCACTGAGGATGGAATTAACCAAGGCGTGTCCGACTGAGCAAAGGGCCCCGGGTGATGTCAACATCACCCCAGGGGACGTTTTGGGGGAGCCCTGACACATGGGTGTAGGTCAAAAACTAAACCATCACAGGACCGGAGGTTTTTAGTCCTGGTTCCATTTTCCAGGGAAGCCCATTTTGGGGTTGCCCTGTTTTGGATCACCACGGCCACTTGCACTTCTTGTTGCGGGCACTTCAGACGCTAGCGGGACCTCTCCTTCGTCATCCCAAGGCCTCAAGACGAAGGCCGTCCCAAACCTTTCGAAAGGAACACGCCGCCCGAAAGGGAAGCAAGAGAAACCAAAAAGAAGTTCAGGGCGCCTGGAAACAGGAATCTTCCCACCAAAGCAAACAGCATGGAAGCCAACGCGATTTTTCGGGAAGTCTAAGACATCAGGTGATTTCGCAAGTGAGGGAAATTCACACTATGAGGGGCATCCCAAACCAAGGTGAACGAGATGATTGGCATACGGTGTTCCATGACCCATGGGAAACCACTAATCATGATCATTACAAAAGGAACTTTGCGAGCTAAGCAGCACCAAACAGCGTTTCTTGCTGCCACCCGCCAACACTAAATGCCACCTGCAAAACTGAACGCCGGCTGAATCAAGTACGTGCCAAGCATCCGCACCATTCTTGGAACCCCGAGATGAGTTATGCGTATCGGTAAACAAAAAGAAGGGAAAACACACAAAAAAACAACGGGCTCTCGGGCCCACCTTGCTGATGTGTTCCTCCTGGCCGAAGTTGGAGGCTACCTTGAACTCAATGCGGATGTGGCTCTTACCTGCGGGCTGTGGTCCATTGCGCAAAACCAGGTTGTTGGAAGACCCTGCCTTCCCCTTTTAGGTGTTTTTTTTGTTTTTGTAAATTTAGGTGGGTAAATGGGGTGGGTGTTGCTTCGATGTGGTCGCGTTCGGACTTGGAAACTAAGCGCCTGGAAAAGGACTAATAAGTGTTGCCCAAGCAAGTCAACCAGCGGCACCATTCCAAACCAAACAGCGATACCCATCTTCAGCTTACCCCTAATTGGGTACCATCCCCATTTGGCTTTAAAAGGAAGCGGGGTTCAAATTACCAACTTTGCACCAAACAAACAAAGGGCAGCAGCGATGCTGAGGACGAAACTCTGCACTTGGTAAATAGTTGATCCCAGCATGGGAGCTTCGTTCATACCTTCCAAATGTTGTCCATCAATAGTTGAATAACATGTTGCTGGGCTGTCCTCAGATCATCCCCTGCTAAGAGTTTATTTTGTTACTGGATACAATGAAAACTACCACTCAAGGGTTTATTCATCCAGGGTCAACATTGTTGACGCATGGCAGACTTAGTTGCTACTTAGTTGCCCCAAAAATAAAGGTGATCACCTGTTGGGATCTTGACTAAAAAAGGAAAATGGGAACCAGGGAAACCTGATTTGCTACCATGTCCTCACAGAACTCCTGGTAGCCGTGAGCTTTCACAGGCTCTCCGGAACGGCTCCCTTCCAAACACCTGCTAATGTTGACCCCGGATCAATAAACCGAAGTATATTCATGGGGGGGTGTCCCAGGTTTTAGTGGGGAATCATCACTGTTGGAGGGGAACACCCCCCTACTAGTAAACTGGGGTTTACTCATATGGGGTCACCAAAAGGGTCAGACTCCTCAACTCTGCGCCTGCGTCCACGCATTGCAGCTGCCGGGGCTTGTGCGGGCGCTCGGCCGTGCGGCAGCCCATCTGCAGAGGCTCCAGTGACCAGCCCACGTCGTTGCAGGCAACGACCCGCACCTCGCGGGTGGTTCCTCCCCAACGCAGGGGATTCCAAAGTGTAGGAAGCTCATGTGAGAAGCGGCAACGGGGTACTGTTGGTACCCGAAAGTTCTCCTTCTCTGACCTGCCCAAAAAGACAAATTGGACAAACATGGCTGTTCGCAAAGGATCCAAACAGTTTCGAGAGGTTCAGCCCGTACTGTGGATGGACTAAATCCATTTCGCACCACGTAAGAATCCCTGGATTGATTCGATTCCCCTGTAGATGCCAATGAACCTTCTTGTTGCAACCATGGCTTCTTAGGTGGTGCGAGAAGCGGATTTCGCAACCATCCACGGCATTTTGAAGAAGCCCTGATTGGTCCCCGATGTCCCAAACCCTTGGGATTCACGAATGAGGCCGTGCAGAACCAGTCCGCAGGTTCCAAAAAACGCCCACCATTCTGAACATGTCGCGGAACTTTCAGGCTGAATGGCATGTTGGGACTAGCAAAACCCAACCTGTGAGTCCTGAACTACGCAACATCTAGTGAATGTTAACCCCGGATTAAGAGCAACCCTGGTTGATTTTGATCGGGGGGTGTCCCCATTTAGTGGTTGGATTCGGACCACTTTTGGAGGGAACACCCACCTAATAATGGGACGGGTTTATTAATCCTGGGTCAACTGGAATGCAACCCTTCCGTCGTCCATGTCAAGAACCAGCTGGACAAGTCAGGGAGAGATCCCCGCTGTCGCTAGACTGGGCGATGTTTCAACTTGCAAAGTGCATTGAAAACCCGTCAGCCAGAGCATAGCATGCACAAGCAACTCTGCCAACCATCTTGGAAGGTAGTTTCCAGGCCTTGGCATGTAAGCAGAAGACTGATTTGTGCAGCCAGGCCACCCACCTAAACATGTTTGGCACCAAAAAATAGTTTAAAGCAACTCATGCCAACAACAGTGATAGCCATAGCTAATGTTGCGACCATCCCTGTTGTTTCCAACCAACTAAGCAACCAGGTTTGACAGGACGTGCTTCCATTCGCTTAAGCCCCCTGGAACAAATGAGAAAAAAGGATAATGTACTTCCAGATTCGAGCAGTGACAGATTCCCTTTAAACAACCAGCAGGATAAAACACAAACAAATATTCATTTCAACGCGAATGGACGTCTGCACCAGCCTGGTAGTCTGCCTCACGCTCCAAGTTGTTGGCCCTGGCGCGCCACAAGTTCGCGGAGATCCGCCAGAGGTCGCTCTTGGCGATGGGAGTCCAGCTGCGGATGAAGTTGGCGCGGCTCGCCTACCAGCACCGCGTGATTCAGTGTTCGATGTCTTCTCGGTTGCTTTCTGTTCCCCTGCTAACAGTGAATAATTTTTGGTGGGAAGACCCACTGGTGGGCAAAAGTTAAAGACCGAACATCCAAGCAAAATGCACCAAAGTTTTGGAGTTCGCGTCAGCTGGTTTCCACCACCCCCAACATTTGGCACTCCTGAAAGGGAGGCCAGGGAGTCGCACCCAAAACCAAAGTTCACTTGATTTTGGGAGTTTGGATGGTTCAACATGAGGGGAGGGGTCCCTAATCCTTCGTACCTTGCAGGACACAAGGGAAACCATTTGGCATAGGAAGCGAGGCAATTGAGTTATTTCCATCGGTGGCTCTCAATAGGCCCTAGCACCCCACGCGGCCGTTGTTGGGACCATCAAAGGCAGCCCCACACCCAACAGCCCATAAATACGCAGACTGCACCAAGCTCACTTGGGCCTGTCTTGTTTTGAGGGTAGCCCTTTTGTGATTTTAAAGAGAAACCAAAAGGACAACCACCATTTTGGGGTGTCCGACCCTCAAAAACAGAAACACCACCTTGGCTTTACAGGGTTTCACCCCCGCCACCCCAAAACAAAAAAAAACACGTAACTTGCTGGTGCTCATAAGGAATGACCGTTCCGGGTTTTGGGAATGAACCTGGGATCCCCGAGTAAAGTAAACCATCTCGGGGATGGCTTTTCTCGGTGCAATTCCGTTTCGCATTCCCCCATCTGCAAGATGTTAGGCCCTGAAAACAATTGATACACAAAAACCACCTGGCTTTTAGGGTGAAACAGACACCCCCTCGGCGAAAAAAAGAAGAAGAAGAAGGCATAAACTAGCTGTCAGCTGTCCACAGATCCAGCTCAAAAAGTTGAGAACTTGGGGGTTCAGTGGAAACCGCCACGCCAACCAAAACTCCGAGCTGGGGCCAAAGGAAGCCACTCTCAGAGACGCGCTCTCTCCAGAAAGGCTCCCAGAAATGCTCCCAGAAAGGCTCCCAAAGTCCTTCCCGCCTCCAGGCGGCAGTTGGTCACAGGGGCGCCCTCCGGGTCCCTCGTCCGCCACTGCAGCTCCAGCCAGGTGGCGCCCCGCAAGGTGACCCGCAGCTCCTCCACCTGGCCCGGCCTGGCGCCAGGAGAAGTGGGGCGCTTGTTGAGGTATAGACCCTTCCAGGTCCTCCAGTAGTTTGAGGATAATAAGGGCACCCGACTTTTCTTTGGTAGCCTACTTTTAGTAGGGGAACCCTCCCCCACAACAGTGTAAAAGGGCACTATAGAAATGGAAAACAACATGTTGTGGGGTCACCCTGTTCCGACACATAGCCAGATAGTGATTGACAAATGTGAGTTCTGAAAACTGTTCTGGTTTCCCTTTAACACAATTTGAAGACTATCACCAAGAGTTGTGTCCAACCCTATCGCCGGATATCCCCGACAGGGATTCGGACGGGAAACTAAGAACTAAAAGGCCAAAATAATTCGCCGTGGGCAAGTTGAAGCACTCCCCAACATGCAAGAATCATTGAGATCGAAACTTTCGATAGACGTTGCCTTGAAAGTTTCCACGTCTTAAGTCCCGTGAACCCAAAACCCTAAACCCTAAGCACTGGGAAGGAGACATGAGCCCATGGCTTGGGGTGGGGTGGGGAAGGACCCAGATCACTTTGGTCAAACATTTTCGGATACGCACTAAAGATCGGAAACCAATAGGTAGGGTACCTTCATGGTTACCAGGCAGCATCATTGACTCCATTTAACCAGGGGACATAGGCGAGAGACGAGGTAACGAGGCCGCTCCAATCCACGCGCCTGTCGGAAGGTCGGCACGGCAAAGGCTGGGAAGGTTTCGCAGATCGACCTGGCGGCGGGGCCTGCAAAGCATCAGGGATTTCCATGTGCAGGGGGGAGGGGGGGAGGGAGGGTCGTGAGACAGAGGTCTATTTAGGGGGAGGGGGCAGGAGGGGGGGGGGAGCAGGTCACCAAAGCAAGGCACCCCTTAAAAAAAAGGCACGTGCAAAGAACAAGTCGGAGGAAAAGTGGATGGTGAACGACAAGAAGGGTAACTGGGGTCCACTGGGATACCCATACTGCACGGTTCCCTGTAGTTTCCGGCGCGCTTTCTAAAACATATGAGCAACTTGGGTGTTCGTTCTTGAAGGGAACCCGTTTGAAACGCGTTCTCAAAAGGCAATTCCCAAATGGAACATCACATTTCGGGGATCCCTGATTTGGGCCGTGTCTTATTGCAAGAGCATCTGGCTTTGCCACTTGCGGTTCCGAGCCCCGAGCGCGGTGACCCATCTGCCCGACCTGCTTGGTTCACCGCCCACAGGCGCAGCCAAATCGTCTGCTCCGCCTTGAGGCCAGCGACCTCGGACCATCCCAGCACATGACACATCGGTTGCGAAATCTGCGAAGCCCTGCTACAAGTGACGAACTTTTAGCGGTTTAATACGGAAAACCCATGAGTTGTCAAAAAGGTAAAGTCCTAATATCCAAGCAAAATGCACGAAAGATAAGGTTGACCCCGGATTGATATACCCCAGCTGGATCGCCAGTTAACGTTGCTATGTTTGTTTCCCATTCACTTTACCTCAAACACCAGCAACAGTGACTGAAAAACAACAACTTGGCTATCTAGGCAGTTTGTCAATAGAGGGGGTGCTTCTGCCTGGGTTTAGTTTAGTGGGTAATCAGACCTCTTTTGGAGGGGCCCCACCCCCGTATTAACAAACTGGGGTTGATTGATATGGGGCCAACATTGAAAACACACACACACAGAGGTGCTGCTTGATTTTGGATTGGGCCCCTGGTTGCAAGAGCAATTAAGCGGAAACCAGCTGTTTTGTTGGGTTCCCCTATGAGACAAATCCACAAACAATGTGTCTCTGACGCCCTGGTCATTACCTCTTGAGTCTCTCCCTGTGGCTCGAAATTCCAATGATATCGGCCTTGAAATCCCTGTCCATGTAAACCGCAGGTCGAAATTGGAGGCCATCCCTTTCACAAAAAAAGTCCGGATCTGGAGAGACTGACTTCCCGGCATCCAGTCCAAAAGAAGAAATTGTTTGCGGGCTGGAGGGGACGAGCAATTCAAAGCCTACGCGCGGGTGAGTAAATCACCCGACTCTTTCTTGGTTTCCCCGCCAGGAAGCCACAAGGATACGAAAATGCTTGTTACACACACGGAAGGTGTATTCCCTAATCGCTCAGGTTCGGAAAACGCAAAACAAACAAAGCCACCCTGCAAACGTTCCCAGCATGTTGGTTTTCTTGCTGGTGCTCAGCAGGGAAGGAGGGAATGAACCCTATAAACCATCTCCTATGGTTTCCTTCAAGGGAATCCCCAGGTTCATTCCCTGATTCCTTGCTGAGCGCCAGCAAGTTTCTGAGCTTTGATTTTCTGGGCCATTTTGGTGGATTCCTGTGTGTGTGTGTGTCAAAATTCTCACATCGCCTTCTTGCCAAGCCTCGGTAATGGATCCACTGCGAGCACCTAGCATACCTGCGGACTTCTGAGAGTCAGTGGCCCCGTCGACCTCCTGAGTGCCGAAAAAGATCCCAGCAAATGAATTCCGCCAATGCACATGCCAACAAGGAATCCCATCCAATCAGTTTCTAGATGAGGAGAGGCGCTACATGGGTCCCCAAAGCATAATTTGGCAAACTACTCCAACATGGGTGAGTTTTATTATTTTCCGGCCCGAATTTGCAAGCCTGTAACTTGCCCAGAAAGATGGAACCGGCTTGCTTCAGCACCTTGCGAAGTCAAAAGGGGCTTTGAAAGAACACATCTGCAAAGCTCTTCAAATGGTCCGAATGCTTTTTTTGAAGCGGCTGGGGGAGGATAGGGTCAAGAACCCCATGGGCCCCAGATCAGGTCTTCAACAAGGCACCCAAAAGATCGCTGTCTTGCCCCATGTCACCGTCCTTCACTTGAACTTCAAAGTACTCCGGGGTCTGCCACCACCAGCTGGTAAAGTCCAGCACGCTCACCCCATCTCCGCTCTCCCCAGGAAGCACCGCGCCGGCCGCCTGGGGGATCGTAAAAAAAAACAAAAAAACAGTGGGGTTCAAACACAGACCCACCCATTGCTAAAGGCAATAGGGTCTCCGGGGAAAAAAACTCTATCCCCTATTGCTTCTTTTGGAAGACGTTAACATCGCATGGTTATTATATAGCAACCTTTAAGCAACCTTCTGGTGTCCCGCTAAACGGGCCCAGGGCTTGGCTTTCACAACAAACGTGCTCAACGCTGGCCTCCGACTTCACGCAGAACTCCGGCTCGATGTGGGAGACGGGGCAACCCTCCGCGTCTTCAAACTCGAACTCCACCTGGAAATCTGGGGGCGGTGATCCCATCTTTCACGTGGCAGAGTTTTCTCAGAAAAGGCCCGCTTTGGTATCAGAGCAAATTTCAGCCACCAAGTTCTCCTAAGAGAGAAGGGTGTTGGGGGCCCATCTAAGCAAAGGGCAAAGGCCTCCTTTTCCGAACAGGTGTATTACTCACTCATCATAGAGGCCTAAGAGCATGATTCTTGAAGTAATAAATTATAGCCGCCTAAAATGCTCGCATGCGCACCAGTATGTGCACCCGAAATTGGCAGCGGCTCATACGTACCCACGTAAGGTCAACACGTACACCCGCGTTCAGGAATCGCACATCCACACCGCTACGGGTTTCGAGGCCCCATCAATTTGTAACTCTTGAGTTTAGACAAGCTACACACACATGCTTACAACTCGTGATCATTTGTAACTCGTGGGACGCCTTGTAAAAACAAAGGCAGTGGTCACACTACGTAAACTGTCTCCCTTGGTAGGCACCCCCTGGACTACTGGTGTTGATTGCCTTCGGGGTCAGCTGAGACGGCTGGGGCGTTGGAGGCGTAGAGGTATCAAATATCGGGTTGGTAGGAAGCAGGGTGGTAGAGCCACTGGTGACTGGTGATGGAAGCGATGGAAGCGCAGTCAATATGTTAGCTATCATGCAGTTCGTGAAAGAGCCTCACTTTACGCAACTTTTATGATTCACATGCTGTAGGGACTCCTTTCGCACATTGCAGGTGCAGTTGGGTGTTTCGCCTAAGTTTGTGCTAAAACAAGGTTGGTCACGAACACGAACCGACACATAATTCGGGTTGAAGATATTAGTTGGCTGATCCCGAATCACAAAAGGGAAGCAGGAACCACTGAACTGAGTACTAAGCCAAAAATGAAGGAAACCCAAATCGGCAAAAGAAACCCCAACTGGCAAAAGAACAAATGGGCGAGGCAAAAGTCTGGCAAGCCTGGTGCTTTTCCTCACATGTCCCAGACAGCTTGCCGCGCTCAGTAGGGAATGACCGTTTTGGGTGTTGGGACTGAACTTGGGGGTTTTCCTCAAAGGAAACCAAATCGAAATCGGTTGGATCTTATTTTTTTGTTTCGGGGTCATTCCATGTCTCAGAAACCCTGCATCTCTCAAAACCTCCGCTCTCCCGCCCGCCGTCGCAAGAATGTGCCTCTGCCAGGGCTGTAGGAATGGTGCAACAAAAAGGGCTTCCCAAAGACTAACTCCCCATAAAGGAGAGATTCCCGAAAGTACTACAGTGGGAGATAAACCCTGAGTGATCAACCACAACCGTTAACTGTGGGCTCAAGGAAACTGACCTTCACCCAATTTTCACCCACCCAGTTCTCTCGCGCTCTCTCCGCTGCGCCATGACCAACCCACTTGAATAACGTTGACCCCAAGTTAATCAACCCCAGTTTGTTAATAAGGGGTGTGTTCCCCTCCCAAAGTGAACAATCCCCACGAAAACCAGGGAGAAGCACCCCCATATTTATAAACACGGGTTTATTAATCCAGGGCCGTTGATTACCGACCACCCTGAGAGCCTGGCCTCCACTTTCTGCGGCTTCCGCTGCAGCAGCCGCAGCTTCTCTGGCGCCTTGGGCACGTCGGAGGTGCGGCACTCCGAAGGCTCCGAGAAGTCGCTCCAGCCCGCGCTGTTCCGCGCCCGCGCGCGGAACCTCGGGGAACTCGGGTCGGGTCCGGCTTGGGCTCGGAAGGTTGGCTGTGGGGGCCGGGGGGCCGGGGGGGGGGGGGGGGTAAAGGAAAACCGAAATGAGGGGCCAACAACAAAATAGGAGACCAGGGTTACGTGAATAACTCACTTTGAGACTCGCCAAAAATTGTGATGTTTAAAAGGGACATATCTCACTTCCTACGATTGCCAAAAAACATCCTAAACTTTTGGGGTACCACAAAATGGTCCTCCCCGAAAAATTAAGTCCAGGAACTCGGGAAGTGAGATATGGGGAACTTGCGCTCGGCCGAAGTGACGGACAAAAAGCCAAGAAGGACATGAGGAGGAAAACGAGGAAATGATGAGATAATTCCTTCTGGGTATGGAAGATCATTTTCCCCTTGAAGAAACACATGCTAGTGGAAGAATGGGTGATATTGTTGTTTTGAAGGTTGGAGGTTCTCAAAAAAAAAGAAACGAACATGAGAACCACAAACCAAGAAGTTTGCAGAAGAACCTGCTTCTTAGGGAGGATGTTTGGAGGATTTAAAGGTTGTTGTTGAAAGCATGCCTTGGTTTTGAAAGTCAAGGCTAAACCGCTAAATTATTGTCGTTTTGTCAGCACCATGTCTTCAAATTGAACATAGACGGTATACACAATAGCAACATATCTCTCTGAACATCGATCACATGCGCGTGGAGCATGCACAAGTTTCATGGGTCTAGGTGACCAACATGACTCCTGACAGGTAAACAGAACCATACTTGCTTGACGTTGGCAGGGGAGCAAAAAACAAAATAGCAGTTAAGTGGAGATTTCCAACTAAACCACAATCAGCAAGAATGAGAAACATGTTTCCCAACAGCAACCATGCATAAGCAACCATATGTGCATGTTGCATTTTGTTTCGCACCTGAATGGCCCCTCTTTGCCGTAATTTGGACAGGGTGGGACGGATTACCCTTCCGTTCGCAACACTGAACCCAGCTTGGTGCCAACACCCAAGCGAAAGCTGGCTCTGGGCCGAGAGCCCTGGCCGCCCAACCGAGCAGCTTGTACCCCGAAGCCACCTAGCACGAAGCCCAGATAGGGCCCGGTGAAAACGCGTGAAATGAACTCCAACCAGCACCCGCGGTGCCTGTCGGACTATGACTTGTTTGCAGACTTGAGCCACGTGGCATCCACTTTCCAGTCTTTGAGTGCCAAACTGTGATATCACCTTTTAACTTTCTAAGTCCCGAAGCGGCAAGTGAGTAGAGGAACCTACCTTGTTGTGGGGCAGTGACATGGGGGTGAAGAACCGGCTGAGCTGAGAGAAGCATGTGTTTTCCTTTGCCCGAATCTCCCCCAATCAAAATCAGCCATTGGTTCCGTGATCTTAGCTGTCCCTTGAAGACCCACCTTGTGGGGTAAAGCGGAAACCCAAAACAAGAAAAACAAGAAAAGGCTCAGATGAGCTAGCGGCTCGCTTTGGGCAACTGGCTCTTGTCGACCCAACGAGAACAACATACAACGTATTCTTAAGCAAACGAAGCCGCCTGGATCGCCAGTTGCTGTTTCTTTCCATGAACTTTACCCCAAAAAGCGGCAACGGTGACTGAAACAAACAGCAACTTGGCTATCTAGGTAGCTTCATAGGGGAGTGGTTTTGACCTCCAAAAGTGGTCTGATTCCAACCGCATTTCACCCAGGAAAAACAGCACCTGCCAGAAGAACAAGAAACAAAAGGGGGTTGATGAATTCTGGGGTCAACATTACCCCACCGAACTCGTTTGGGGACCGCAAAAAAAAGCAAACGCCGGACAGGCCGCGCCTTGAGCTTGGGTACCAGGCCCTGCCACGTCTCCTCCCGCAACTCCGCGTCAGCCTTGGCCGGCGTGGGCGCCTCCTGGCGGGGTGGAAACACCAGCCCATGGGCGCGGATCCGCGGGGAATGTGACATGGAATGCACCCAGGCTTTGGCCCCCGAAAGGAAACCACCCGTTGGATGGTTTACAAATTGGGCTTTGGTCCATTCCGAGAACAAAGGAAACCACCCGTTGGACGGTTTGTAAGGGTCGTTCCATGTCTCATTCCCTGCCTGTCGCACCAACACACATGTCAATCCTTGCTGGGACCCTTTTGTTCCGACCCCCAACTGCTGCTTTTTTGGTTACCATACCAAAGGGGACTTTGGACATGGGAACAGCAGTGAGGTCCTGGTAAGAACTTCCGGAATTCGTCCAATTCCTTCTGGTTCATATAGACCTACCCGAATACCAACTGGTAGAACAAGACTTGGTACCCTTTTTGGTTGGTGGATCTTTTAGCGGCGAAAGCAGAAGCAACTGAGGTAAAATGCTTGGCCTGAGGCAAGCCCATAGGCTTGCTTGTTTCTTGCATGGGGCCCATTCTGGAGCCTGTGCTGGCACCCTTGTGCAAATTTTAAAGTGACTCAACACCGCGGAAGGCACCTTTGGGAGGGCATCCGGATCTATTTGCACGTCTTGCAGCCTGAAAAGCTTAAATTGGGTTTGAAGGATACGTGTTGGCCAGAGAAAGCAAAAAACACCTTCATAGGTTGTTCAAAGAGTGTGTGCATATACCAAGCGATGTTGAGGTCTATTTGAATGTTGAACTGAGGAGCTGTGCATAAAACGGTGGGCCGATAGCGTCTTCTGAATAAGGGCAGCTCGAGGGTGAGCTAGACTTTTTGAAAAGAGGTGGCTGCTTGTTGTGCATGGGAGTCTGACAGAGGGCAATTCCATTCCTGCAGTTTGCCCTTGTAATCAACTAAGATTCACACAATGCGTGCGCAAAGGAAACAAGGCAGAGAAACACTAAATCAGCGTCCCCTCGCGGTTTCTGCGAGGCAAGTCTGACCGGTCCCTGTGAAAGCAACATTCACAGGCCGTGAGCCGCAAGCCGAATCTCGTAAAGTCGCTGAAATTGGATGAGAAACCATCCAACCTTTCGCTCTTGAACGAGAACCAGGATCAGAACAGCAACTTGGATCAGAAAAAATGTTGGCTGATTGATAAGGAGGGTATCCTGTTGATCAAGGTATCCGGCAAGCTGTTGGACCTCGGAGAGTACAAAAACTTGGCGTCCGTCTCCCTAAACGCCAACCAAAAGTTCAACAGTCTCCAGCCTCCAAAGATGCTGCTAAAGTTTTAGCTCTCTGAAAAAGAAAGCAAACAGGCCTCATGCCCACGCTCAACTGAGAATGCGCGGAGCACAACCCGCGCTCCATACATTGTACTATTCCCCGTGTATCCGACGTAAAGTTGGACACTACAGTGGAGTCCTTGTCAGATTCAAAATTCCCAGGTACGAATGCCTGAAGGCTTAGGCTCAGAAAGCGATATGTGTGGCCATATTTGAAGGGAGCAAGGCCAACCCCTGCAGCGTTGAGGTAGGTAGAAAGACATCTCTTCAGAAGGGAACTCCAAGACCACAACAACCAAATCTACAGTTGGGTGATTGTAGATAGCATTACCCATTCCTCTCCTGTACTTATCCACATCTACCGACAACTGTGCCATCTATGTTCGCCCTGGTGTATCCTTGAGGTTCGAACATCTTTTGAAGGCAAGCCTGTGTTTGTCTCATAATCCATGCAGGCTTGGATTGGGATGTTCTTTACACGGAAGGCAACTAGCACCAAGCCTGGTTTCAGGTGCCTTCTGAAGAGCTGGTTGCAAGATGCCCCAACCTGTCATAGGTTCTTCCACACTAGAAAAAACACAAGTGATTGCCTGCAACCCATTTTTCACAATGCAAATACAGCAATACCCTTCAAATGGTGATGTGACGTGAATGAAATCATCCCCACGGAATACGATGAGAATCCCTCGAACACCTCCACCTGCAGGATGCTTCGGCTAGACCCGGCATGAGCCGGACCCCGGCTTTGGTTTCAGAATTTCTCTGGACTCAGCAGATCTTAGCCCAGCTCTGAATTACACCAAAACAAAGCGAATGTGTCAATGTTTTAAGTGAACCTACCCTAAAATATTTCAACGGCAGAACTAGCTTGCTGTTGACCCCCTTACAAAAGTTTAAGTTTTGTGGGTTTAGTGGAAAAACCATTTATTTCAACCAAAAAGTTACAGTCTAAAGATCCAACCCAATAGCAGCCAAGATAAAGTGTCAAAGCAGCGGAACCGGAAAGCATTGGGGCCCTGTCCCTTGTTCATGGGACGGTGGCATTGATGTCAGCCCGCTCAGTGGTTGATCTTGGACAAGGCGCCCATGTCCCTTCAAACATCCCACAAAGGAGACTGACTTTACCGGGCTGCCCTCAGATCCCCCGCGAAAAGTGAATGACTTTTAGTGGGTTAAATTCGGAAGCCCAACCACTAAACACTAAGAAGCTGAGAGCCACCAAGTTTAGATTGGCAAAATGACGATTCAAAGCTGACGAGGGGGCAACCATGAGGAACGCTCATTTATGCCAAAACCCGCCACTCTGTTGGGAAGTCTCTTGGATCCAAAGACCCAATGAGATCTGCGCAAAGTGCACCCGGCGAAGGCGTTCGTTTTGGTCCTGAACCTTCATCTCGCTCAGCGCGACTTCCTGCCAGCTGAAGAAGTCGGCCACCTGGACCTGTCCGCGTTTTGTTGGGACACCACTAGGTGTTCCGGTAGAGAGGTTAGAATAAGGGTACCCTTTTTTTTCTGTTGTCTATTTTAGTAGGGGAACCCTCCCCCCCAAAAAGGGTAAAAGGGCACAACCGGGGACCTAGACCACCTGTTCGAACATGTTGACCATGATTGTTTGAACATGTTACTTTCCCCTAGGCAACCACTAACACTCTAGAAAACCATCTGGATGCGCTTTTTGCGGATTTCACCTGTTCTTTCCCTTCAGGGCACAAGGTCAAGCCTCTCTCTCTCCCTCTCTCTCTCTCCAGCATCCTCGACTCACCGAGTGGATGAGCCAAATAATTTAGCCAAACTTTTTAGCGTACCACTAGTATGGTCCGACCGAGCCCAAGAAGTAGCGTCTCGCTGCTCCCCGCTCTGCTCAGCTGCCTGTAAAAAACGAGCAAGTATCCAGTAGTGATAGGTTCTCTTTAAATCCAACAAGCGAAATCATACTGTGGATGGACAAAATCCTGCACCACTTTGAAACCATGGAAAACCATTGTTTGTTGGTATTTACAGGGAATCAGACCATCCCGGGGCTTCTTAGGTGGCGCAGGATTTCGTCCATCCACAGTAGTATTCTGAAGCAAATGAAAGTGCTTCTTTCAAATGTTCCCTAACCCTTGCTTGAGACCACACCCACATCTCTCTCCTTCCGGCGAAAGCCGCCTGGCACTCGAGCACGGGGGCACGCAATGGGGTCTTTGCCAACCACCTGAGCTGACAGCCCAAGCAAACGACCCTTTCGAACAAGGCTCACCGGAATTCTTCTTCAAAAGTTGGTAACTTACTGGCATGCATGGAAATTGCCACTTTTGGAGCTCCTAAAAAGGGAAATGGAGAGGAAGCCCCGCCAAAAAACAACCTACATAGGGATCCTGCCCCAACCCTCTCTGACCGTGGGTTTTGCCCATGCCTTTGTCCGAGGCGCCAAAAAAAAAGACGAAGAGCCTTGCATATGGCTAAATGGGCCGAGCTCGGGGGAATTGCTTTTCCAGGGCTATGTGTTGAAACGACTTGGGAAAACGACGTCGCCCCAAGATCCAAGTGAGTCGTCGAGATATCTGGGTAAATTATAATATTTCACCGCCCTGAAATAAGGTGGTTGGGGGGGCCATTCCCCACATAAACCACCATTTGGGGTGAATTCGGTCGTGTGAGGTCGCTATAATTCACCCAGATTCATGCTAGCTTTTTAAGCCAAAGCCAGCAAAAAGGAACTCAGCACCGTCCGTCAAAATCAAAATCAGGCCAGGCAAAGATGGCCTGCCGACTGGGGGGACAGCCGGCTTGTGAAAAAGAACAAGTTGGCTCCGGCACAAAAGCCCAGTGGCGATGGGGAAAAAAGGGGGCCATCTTTTTGCCGTGGTGGATGCTCAAAGCAAGCCCTTCCCAAAAAATGTTCAAATCATGGCTCCAATTCATTGACTCGATAAACGCACTGGGCAGCTGAGTCAAGACCCCCTCATGCACACTCAAGTGTTGCCCAAATTCCTTAACACCTAGGCAAGAACTGCATGGCCGTATCTTGGCCAACAGGGCAGTACAACGTACTCCGGGGTTCTCCCTCTTGCGGTTCCTCTGTTGGGGCGGAGGGGAACCCCTCCAATTTCACAAATGTGTCGCGTTGGCGGGGGGCTCCTGCTCACAATCCCAGGGGTTCATAATCGTACATTCGACCTTCGACAAGTTGTTCAAAAAAGGCTTCCTGGAAAATGGCCCAACATAGTCCAACCCATCAAGCACAACTCGATTAAACAACAGCAGGACTATGGAAACACATGAGTAATTTCACCTGGGGCGCGTAACCCGCAGGGGTGTCGCTCAACAACTATCTTGCAAGAGAAGTGCTGATACCAGGACAAGCGTTGAAACCTTGACGGAATATGCTTCAAAGCGGGTTCAGGCAGTGAAAGTGTCGGTTGGCCCGGCAAGACAGCAGTGGTCACCACCTGATACACCACCTGTTTTTGCTTTGTTGCCACGGAAAAACTTGAAGGAAGAGCCACTATACTGGGCCTACGGCCCCCCTTCTACACCGTGGGCTGGGGATTTGAGAAACCCAAGCGCCACCAAAAAAAAGCAACAGCCGGCAAACATAATCCGCGCAACCCTAGAAGCCATTGGGGTTTACACACACTTCCCGCCCCAAAAACCAAAAGGCCCCCAGAAACGAAAAGCTTACCGCCCCCCCTCCCCTTCACCCTTCTAGGTGAATTATTCTATTTCCTAGGTCGTTAGGTCGAATTCTTTACTTCAAGGTCGATCTGAAATAACTTAAGTCTTGGCATTGCCGCGCCATAACACGGCTCAGGGCTTCAGGCGGCAACTCCTTAAATACCCCGTATGTAACCCCCCCAGAAGTGGAATTCTGGGTGACGCAGCGCTCAATTTGCCAATAGCAAGGGGGTCCAGCCCACTAAATACTGCGTATTTAAGCAGCTGCTCGAATTCACGGGAGGTCGGGTGACCTCGCTATAATTCACCCAGCCCCTTGTTTGCAACAAATCGAAGGGGCCTTCTTTGACACTTAGGCGTTGCAGGGAACCTCGCCCCCCCGCCCCCGCCCCCAACGAAACAAAAGGGCAACGGAAGCAACCTTGTGTACCAGAACTCCTGTTAGCTCCGCTTTTAAAAGCACAAATTTGGATCGGCTCCGAGCCTCCATTTGCTGAATTAAGTCCCCTGGAATTAAACAAAAAAACACATATTTCAGAGGTGGTAGATTCCCTTTATATAAAGCCAACAGGGGGAAAGAAAAAATAGCAAAAACCTTCTTAACCAGCAGGAAGGTGTGTGTGTGTGTGCGGGTCTGCAGGGGCCCGCTCAGCAATTCGTCCCGTCCGCACCGGGACATTTCTTAACCAAATGGAAGCCGGAGCTCCGCTAAGCGAAGCTGAGGCACTGCAGCTCCAGCCGGTCCGGCCACCGCCGCAGGCACCGGACTTTCTCGCAAGCAGGCCGGCCCAAAGTCTCCACGTCGCAGCGGCCCAAGACCCGGTCCTGAAAGGCCGCGACTTGAGGCGAAAGCTATTGATCATCTGAGTATGTGAATGGCTCTCTTGCAAAACCCTGCTCAAAATGGCCTTTCGAGTCCACGCGGCTTTGATCAGACGCCTTTTTCGCTTCTTTGGCAAGAAACTTGGCCCAATGTCTTCCAGCACAGTCCTGGAGTCTGCAAGCCTGAAGCTCCCAAGCCCTTTGCATACCAGCAGCGACTTGAGCAACGACACGCCAAGGGCCGAACTTGCAAAACCCGCATGAACGAGGCCCTGGCGCGTGGGCTGAGTATTGAGGTCGCGCTTGCTCGGCGCGCCAAGCGCAGTGTTATGTCAGGAGAAAGGATGCAAGCGAATACCTGCCTTGGGCTGAGGCAATTGAAGCAGTCCTGTCAGCTGGGCCACAGCTGGAAAGGCCGACACACTTAGAAAAATCCGCGCCCGGCTCTTGCACGCTTTCGCCTGCATTTGGCGCGCTTGCGGCTGCGCATGTGGCTGAAGCTGCAGTCAATGAGACGATGCTGCTTGTCAAGTTGCATGGTTCTCAGGTGCATTGCTACCTCATTGAATCGAGATGCGCGCTTCTGTCGCAGCTTTCACTTCGCAAGGAATGAACGGATCAGCGAAAGCAGCCGCCCACACAGTCAACTGGCAAGATCTGGTTCTAGCGCTTCGGTGCCGGCACAGTCAGAAACTTAATCTTTTGAAATCCTCCGCATGCTGGTGTGTTCTCTCAATGAGATGTCGAGAAGCACAGACTCCATCAAACCACATACGGGGGGCCCATCCCGCTCAGCTTAAACATGCCTGGCCTTTAGCAAGCCTCACGAAGGCTTAGCCTTTCCTGGGGGGGGGGGGGCTTTTCGAACTTCTCTGGATAGTCTCCTGAACACTTGCTAGGATCTTGCAGCTACAGAAAGGAACCGCTTGAGGCATTTGACCTATTCACAGAACGGCTTCTTAGACTTTTAATCGAGATGTGTCACATTTTTGTTAATGGACTTTTAGCTTGCTGGGCGTAACACAAGCTCACGATGATGGTGTTTAGCTGGGGGTTCCTCTCTTCAGGTTTTGCAATTATTGCAGCAAAGGTTCCTTAATGTATCCCAAGCACCAGCTATCGAGGCAACCTCGGCGGCCATACTACTGTGAGGAACCAAAACTGCCGTGAGAAAGACTCCCGGGATGCCCAGAAATGCAGCGCCTTGGTTTGGAAAACGGATCTGACTCACCACAGGTGGCGCTTCCGACATGTCACGGAGGCTACCCACTTCCAACGGCGGAGCTCCGTGTGGACAAAAGGCCCGACGCGCACCGCTCGCACAGCTGCTATTCAAAGCGTCTCAAGCAAGGGGGGGATCTTCGTACTCACGCTCAATCTTCCGGAGATGACATGTAACCCCTGAGGTTGCAGTCAAGGGCCTGCTGGAAACGCGAGCGGCATGTCTGCAGAAGTGGAAACCCGGGGCTTTGTTGAAATAGAGGGGCTGCGGACGCTGGAAACACCAGCGTCCGCACCCAATTCGAGGTTTGGCCCTGCTCACCGCCCGGAAAATCATTCACAGGGCAAATGTTCTGCGCTTCCCGCAAGGAAGCCCAAGGCCGAAAGAATCAAACCTGTCGCCTCCGGCCGAGTTGGCCCGCGCAAATCACATTGCGGCCGTTGCATCTGGGTTCACGGCGAGCACTGGGCACTGCCGACATATCCTTTGCTGCCAAAGTTGGGCGCGCTGCGCCACAAATGCGGCCCGTTGGCGCGCCGGCTTTCACCATGTGTGTTCAGCTCAGGAAGCTCAACAAAGGCCTGGGTGACAAAGGCCACCTCATAGGCCATGAAAGACTTGCGCAGTGCAGGTTTGAGAAGGGGCGCAGCAAAAACACTGGAGCACAACCTTCTGTGCTACGGCGGCAAAGCTCCGTTTTGTTGCGTGAAAGTTGAAAGATGGCACACAGCCCCACGGGCGCCGCACAAACAAGGTCATTCCTTGAAAAGCCTCCGCATTGTCAGCAGGTGAGGTGATCCGCCAAGGACACGCTGAGACCACACGCGCGCTGTCTAGGACTTGGAAGCGCCAAAGCCGCCTTTCTCACCAGCATCTTCTTCCTAGGTGTCGCCCGTGCCCCTGCCCCAAAGTTCCCGAAGCTTCAAGCGTGTAGCATGTCTAGAATTGCCAGTCTAAACAGTCGGCAAAGCATGTGCCAGGGCAATGTGTTCTGGCAGCTGGCAAACCATTCCAGCGCGGGCAGGGTGGGAGTCAAAACGCTTCTGCGCCCTGAGATGTTAGTCGTGGAATGGGATTGACACGCCACTTTTGCTTCGAGGCCAGCTTTACAGGAATACCCGAGAAACAGGCGCAGCAGGATCTCCAGCAAGCATCCACAGGCCACTTATCGTAGGCACAAGAGCACGCCGCAGCCGAGGCTACGGGATCTTTCGTTTTGGAGACGCCAAGGGGGAACTGAAAACTCTAACTTTAGCGATAAGATTTGGGTGCTGGACAGTGGCACAACCGCCGCTAACTTTACTGACATGCCTCCAGGCTTCCCTGTAGCTCAGGCAGTCCTGCTTCCGCAAGACCCTGACAGCTTGAGCCAGGCATGCATGCAAAGCAAGGAGGAATCCTCAGAAAGCTCGGCGCTCCGAGATGTTAGAGACTTCGCCTTAGATCCGGCACCAGCCACACCGAGCCCTCGGAACAAGCTGCAGGGCGCGGCATATGGCACCCAGCGTGCTGTAAACCTGAGATTCTGCCCGGCCACAAATGCGCGGGCTCCCGGGTGTGACACAGTGTAACCTTCGACCTACGCAAGCGCAAGACGGACATTAAGGCATTAAGGGCAGGGCCAGGCCGTGGGGGGGAGCTACAAATTTCGACGATGTGCAGGACAAAAGGCCCAACGGATTGGGTAGGCGGCGCCGGGAAACCGAACGATCTTCAGGATGCCGGGTACGTGGAAAACAGGGTCTGCACCGCCGAAGTGCAACATCCAAGCCCTGCCGCTTGAGAAGGCATGCACGAACCCAATGCCGATAAAAGAAGACGGGTATCTGCACCAGGCAGGAGTTGCGGAGCTGCGGCCGGACTTTAGTCAGAGCAAGCAATGCCTGGCACACACGGAGCCAAGCCCACCCACACCATGTCGATCCCTGGAAGGTGCCACGCATGGCCCCTTCAAAAGACACGCCATATTGGCTGAACGGAAAGCCAAAGGCCCCGACTCCCACTCCAGTGGTTGCAAGAACATTGCCAGAGGGTAAGGGGGTCGTGCCTCTCCTGACTGAAGGAGAGACAGGGCGCTCTCCGACAAACCAAGCTTCGCCATCTGACTCTTGCACAGGACGTGCAACTGCATCTGCACCACGAAGGGAAGCCACCGTTGCGTGGAAACCGCTTTGAAGAAACGCAAGATCATCTTGACACCGGTCCCTGCGCCTCCTGGCACCCATGAGCTGCAAAAAAAAGGAACCACACCCGGATGCACTGCGGCAGTACCTAGGATATTTCGCTTGAATTGCGGGATGCGCACGAGATCTCTGTCAGCGTTTCATTGCGGCCTAGCCTAAAGTCCACAGAACTTGGGCAAAAGGACCGGGCCTGTCTAAAGACCTGCTTTTCCCAGCACGTTCCATCGTTGCGCATCGACAGCTCTTCTTATCCTGCCTTTGCGTTTTTCTGCTTGCCGCCTTGGCAAGAGCCTGTGTTCCAGAGCTGTGGCTGGAGGCTACAAGCCATAATGGACAGGTTTCTGCCCAAACGGCGATCATGGCGATCGCAACCAGCGTTTTCATCGGCAAACGAGCGGCTCGTTCTCGTCCAGAACGCGTATTCGGGCGGAAAACCCGGCACCTTTAGGAAGGCCAAACATTGCCAGGAGGTAGCCTAGAATGGTAAAGGTCTGAAACCAAGCACCTCTCCTCGGCTTGGCGCCCGGCAATATCGAGCATGTTTCAGCGCAAGAGCAGCATAGCAACATTCAAGCCCGGTAACGCCTGCCCGTCTCACCCAAGAGCTTTCATTTTACTCAGGCGAGCGACGCAGCGCGGCATTCGCTGAAATGAGCAGTGTCAAAGCTTTAAAATGCCAAGTCATGTTTCGAGGCTGCAGAAGCTGGCATCTGCAATCTCACATCCACATCTGCGGGCGTTCACTAAGTCCCTGCGTCGCTGAATTCTGCTTACGGCATCCAACCGAACAAGGCAAGCCCGGCCGCGTTTGCTCGGAAACCCCGGATCCAAGCAATGCCGCGAGAACAGGTGTTTTCACCAAACAATCCGCGGATCAAATTGCGTGCGGAAAAAGTACCTGGCATAGGCGGCGATTGGGCACTCTGCGAGGCGAAATGCGCAAAACGCATTAAGCACGGCGGCAAAAGGCCGAAACACAAGAGCTTGGGGGGCAGGAAGCACGGCAGCAGGGCAAAATCTGACAGCTGATGTCTCAATAGTCTTGAGTCGGCCGCCGGCATTTGCAATATAATGCGCTAATCTGGAAAGGAAATTGCCGAAAGCCCCAAACATGTTGGTTGGTGAGCGGCTTCGGCTTAAAAGCGCTGCGTGCGTGGCACAGCGACTGCCCGCAAGGACATGGCATAGGTGAAGCAAACAAGCGGCCACAGGTGCTGTGCATAGACCACCGGCTTCCTGTTTGGTCGGAAGAGCATTGCTTTATGCAAAGTGGTCTATCAAGCATGTTCATCTCAGGAAGTGTTTGGGTCAAGCGATGCGGATTGGAACGTCGTCGCCGCAATTCACATTTACACTCCGGGCCTCGCGCGCTCCGCACAAACACTTGGCGAGCGTGCCAAATTGAGCCGCGACGCGGCTATTTCACCAACCAGTGAGTTCAAAGACAGGATGAAACTTTCAAAGCGCCCACTGCGGCCATTTGCAGAAATACTAGGCGTACGGCATTGCTGCACCATCCGATATGTCCCTTCAACACATACCCGCCCTTGGGAGGTCGGGTTGCTGTTCAAGCATGCAACGCTATAAACACTCGCGGCTGCTAACATGTTCAAGAACACTTTAAGAATAAATGTTCTGTCTACCCAGACAAGTACTTGCCACACCGTGCATCTTGTCACACATTTCCTGAACCATCCTAAATCTGTACCTTGTTTGTGAGCCAAAAAATATATATGTTTAGCAGCTAAGTGGGATTTCAACCACTAAACCACCACAAGCAAAAATGGGAAAAATGTGTCCCAACAACCCTGGTACGACCCTGTTTTACTTCTGGCCTTCGATCAGCTTGGGCCGGTGGCCTGCGAGCCAGCTGTGTTACCTCTGGCTAAACATCACCCCCTCCAAGGGGCACTCACCAAAATCATGGGCCAAAAAGGTGATGTTCATCGCCCAAATGGGAAATATAGGGACCCCTGTCAACACCTCCCGAAAGAAACGACGCTGTGAATTGATCTATTGCAAGAAGCCATCGAACACCGCTCCCTGAAGGTTCCATTCAGGGAAACCGGCCAAAGAAAAAAAGCACACGTCTTGGTCGCTGGACTTTGGCTCGGTCAAAGCAAAACACCACCTGTTCGTGACAGGAGTTTAGAAGTGGGCAAGCGACGGGCAAGCTGCAAGGATCCATGGAAGACAAGAATGATCTTGGCTGTCGACTCGTGGGGGCCAAAAAAAACACGTCTGATAGGTAGGCGGTCACCAGAATTACACTCCTACAAATCAATCAAAACAACAAAACGTGTCCCTTTTCGAGGAGTCGTTGGGCTTCAGTTTCGGGAGCCAGGCGTTTGTGGGGCCCCAACACAAGAGCTATCCACTAGCTGGGTCCCCTTTTTCTAGACTTTTTCTGTTGGACCGACCAAAGTTGTTGTTGTTTTGGACCCCTTTTTACATGGCGCCCTTGCGAAAGCGGCTTAGATGGGCAGGTTGGTGGTTCGCCTTGTGACCCGGTGGGCTAGTCAAAGCTCGAAGCACAAAAGCCTAACTTTTCAAATCAGCTGGTCAAAGTGACTTTCTATCTGGCGTCCTTGTGCGTCCTTTAGGACCTTTAGGACCCTGCCCAAGGCCAAGGGAAACTCAATTCAACAGCAGGCGGCGTTCGCACACGCAACGTGCAAACGAACAGGACGTTCTTTTGCACAAACAGCCACGCAGAATGTGCTTCTGAGCAAATGAGTATTTCATCAACACACTTGAAACAAGGAATCCAAGAATGAATCTTCGTTCTGGGTGAATTCGGTGGTAAACCCAATCCCTTGGCGAGGCCGCGATTTCGTGTGCCCAAACTTTGTTTCCAGGAAGCAACGGGATCTGTTGAAAGAAACCTGCTTCTGCGAGCAGGACGGCTCCACAATGCAAAACATGTAGTGTGTCTCGTTGGGTAATCCTGAGGACCCTACTAGTCAGGGCAGTCTACCGTGCGCTGTCAGCTAGCGCAACCGTCAACTGGCAGCGTATTCGCGCTCCAGGATATCTGGCTTAATTCCACCACATGCATTCGGTCACCGATTTCCTCTGCAACGAAGACCTCTGCATTACCAGCGGCTTGAGCTTCAAGATGCCAAGGCCCGACTTGCAAAGCTCACGTGGATACGGGGCCGCACCCTGAGAAGCGTAGGCCAACCGGCGATGCTCTGAACCCATCGGTCAATGCTCCGTTGCCTTGAGCATCGTAGCACTGACAGGCAACAAGGCGATTTGTGCACAGGCATCCCAAGCATTCCCTCAGAGCCTGCACTTTCGCGACCGTTACTGCAGTAAGATGTCCATCGCAAGACGCTCAAGTCCCTTGTTACCTGCCTACCCTCGTGTCTGTAGTCTATTTTAGTCCTCCCCTAAAAAAGTTGGTAAAGGGGCACCTAGCTGGAGGACCTCGACTAGGAGAAGTCCGGCCAAAGACCCACCGCGCCCTGGAAGCTGCAGTCAACCAGACACTGCTGGGTGCCAAGCCGCATGGTAGGTGTCCTTTTAGGGGAAATAGTGTGGATGGACGAAATCCTGCACCCCTTTGAAACCATTGGAAGCCATTGTTTATTGGCCTTTACAGGGGAATCATGAATCCAGGGTTTCTTTGGGTGGTGCAGGATTTCGTCCATCCACTGTAGATGGCCCTGGTAGATGATTAAACCACCAGGGAAACCAGGAATCGAAACCCATCGGTTTTTCTACCAAAAAGAACCAAAAAGGACACCTATGTGCATGGTTCTCAGGCGCATGGCTACCTTGTTGCATCGAGAGACGCGTGTCTGGCGAAGCTTTCACTTTGTAAGGAATGAACGATTCAGCCAAAGCCTGCCACACAGCCAACCTGTAAATGGCAACACCAGTCCATGGCAAAGCCATACTGGTAAGATTTGGTTCCAATCGTGGTTCTAATCTTCGTCTTTTGGCAGGTACATGTCCAGGGCTGATTGTACACATTACGTGTGTTCATCCTCGTTAGCAGGCACACCCCACTTCCTTCACCTTTGCCTAAAGTGGGGCAAGAACCCCTACACCGAAACGAAACACTCTGCAGGATATACTTCTGGGCAAATTCGTCTCACCCATACACCTGCAACAATAATTTCCAGAAGTTGAGCCGCAATTTCATGCGCCCAGATTTCCTTCCCAAGAAAAAAAGGGGATCTATTGAGGAAGCCCTGCTCCTCCGTGTCGGACGGCTCCACAATGCGAAAGCTGTAGCATGTCTCCTGGGTACTCGTCAGGGCAGTCGGGGCTCCCTATACTTCCCCCTTAGTTTTGCATAAGGTCAGCTCACTTGAAATGGGCCTACACGGGCGCGGGTCAAGCTAAAACTACCAGGAAACCGCAGGTTTTAGTCCCTCTTTCCATTCACTAGGGTTCCCAACATGGGTATATTTTTGACCCACCACCACACATGACACCTGTCAACGCAAAACAGGCAGCGCCAGTGGAGGGCGGCTGCAACAGCGCAGCCGTCAACTGGCAGGTCCATTTCTTGTTGCGCGGGCAACCAAAAAAGGCGGTTTCAAGAACCGCGAAGCTTCTGTCTTAACAGGCTGGAACCCCAACCAGAAATGAAAAAAAACAACCTCAAGACAGGGGCCTTCAAGAGGTCGCCAACTTGCCCAAAAGCTCCCAGGCGTGAACCTTGCTTTGAACGAAACTCGCTTCCAGGTTGCAACGTCAGCGTGGCCGTTGGGGGCGACCGTGGCGCACAAAAGACCACCAACAAGCAAACAGGTTCTCAGCTGCCCAACAAGCCTGGCAGAAAAACGGGAGAGCCATGTGGAAAACCAAGCAGAAAGGACAAGGGGTGCCGCATGGTGCTGGGCTTGAACAAGTGTTCAGCCAGGGTAGGGATGCTTTTCGGGGAGTTATGGATGCTGTTACCGCCGATACGGCAGTATAAACCCCATGTAAAAGTGGTATGCAAATTTTATAACCTCCATACTCTTGCTGGTGCTTAGTAGGGATTGAGGGAATGAACCTGGGGATTCCCTTAAACGACACCATAGCGGATGTGTTTTTTTTCCTGGGCGTCATTCCCACATTCCCTGCTGAAAACCAGCAAGTGCTGGTACCTCCAAAACCCCTCCCTCCTAGGTCCTCCAGTACAGAGGTTAGAATAAAGGTACCGTTTTTCTGTGGTCTATTTTAATAGGGGAACCCTCCCCCCAAAAAGGGTACAAGGGCACCTAGCTGGGGGACCTAGTCTCTGAAAATGCGCTAAAAGCCATTGAAGCCATGGCTCAGCATTGAGACCCCAGATCCTCACGTGGTAGAGGTGCCGCTCTTGGCTGGTGCGGCAGTCTTTGCCTTGCTCACGGTTCTGGATAAGGTGGGGCGCTGGAAAGCCTCAACATTCAACCCCTGCAAATTATCGGAAGGAACCCAACAAACACACAATCTAATTTGCAAAGAAAACTCCTTGTGGGACCTGGACCCGCTTTTGGGTTCCTTCCGAGAATTTGCAGGGAGCTAACCCCTTCTCGATTGCACACCAAGCAATGTGCGATAGCGGCCAGTATCCAACTCCAAGGATCAGGCTTTAGACCACACACACTCATCATCACATGGGGTCGTGGTAGTTCAAACAAGAAAGACCGATGTGACCTGCGCTACTTTTAATCACTTCCTGTAACTCGGCAAAGGAATCCGGGAGAAACAAATTCACGGACTCGTCGTCAAGGGGCCAAAGCACATCAGAATCTATGTGTGGTGCAACATATATATGGACTATGCAAATGTTTTCACAAACATGTACATGCTCTTATGTGTAGATATACATGTGTACACACATATATATATATATATATATGTTTGTACGGATGTGTGTATATATATAAAACCAATATATATATATATATGGTGCCTCTGCATTTCTGTCGCCAACGTCCCTGCCTTCCACCAGCTCAGCCCAGCGCTCGCTCTGCAGCCAGGAGCCGGGAACCAGGACCTGCACCTCGGGCCCAGAGCGAGCCCTGAAAGTCAAAACCACGATTGAACAAATGGGGTTCATATAGCCTTTTATCTGGGGGGAGAGTACCCCGCCCTGCGGTTCAAACAGCCTTTAAAACAATAGGGGGTCATGTAACCACCAGTATTTAACTAAGGATTGTCATCATCTAAATTGGGGCATCCCGTGTCTTAATGGGGGTTGAACGCAAGGGTATGGGTATGGGTCGAAATGAAGCCGCGAAAAACCCGCAGGTTTTAGGCCATGTTTCCAATACCAGGGTTTCCAAAACGGGGTCCCCATGTTTGACCCACACCTATATGGCTTCATGGGGGCTGGGGGGGGGGCGTGAGGGAAAGGGGGGAGGGAACTCAAATTCGCCCGTAAGCCCTTCCTATGACGGTGAAATATATGTTTGGATGGCAGCGCGAAATCCGCGAGTCTCGCACTACCGAAATCAGACACCACGGTTGAATGAAACCGTGACGTGTGCTACGGTATTTACATTGGGGAATTTTGAGGTAGGCAGGGGTTCGTCCATCCACAGTATGGCTGCGCTTTCAGATCTCCTGCTAAAAAGTGATCAACATGGAAACCCCCACTGAAACCTAAAAACCTAAGGGGATGGCTGGGAAACACTAAAATGTCTGTGAATTTCAATGGGGGGCCCTGGTGGATTTTATTCAGAGGATTTATGTCCACCAACCATTTGGAACCTGCATGGGGATTCATGCATAAAGGAAGCCAAATCGGGGATGGCTGCCTCACTTGCCCAAAGGACTTCGACATAAAAGGTTAACCTTTTGGGACCTCCACTAAACATGGACCAAAACAGGAAAACCAAAAGGTCAAAAGGTCGGTTTTGAACAACTGAGTTGCTAGAGGTCATTCCCTCATTCCCTGCTGTGCTCCAGCAAGTTAAGCATGGGTTGGCCATGAGCAAGAGTAAAGCCAATTCGCAAGATCCATCCCGTGGCTTACGAAAGGATTCGGCCCCATTTGCAGTGGTTGAAGAGTTCTGGAAAATTGACACTGTCCCGCCCACCACTGCTCTACTACTCCGACTCACCATGAATAGGTGCGGACATTTGCACTCTTGATTATCAACATGGTTTCGACCCCTTTGCGAGGCCCTGATCCTGACGTACATGGCTATGAGTTCCTTCGATGTCCAAATTAAACCACGCTGACTCCGCGTCTGGCTCTCAAGTACAGTTGACAAGGGCAAAGGCATCCTCTTTGTCACCCGAAGTTGAAGGCATCCCTCAAAAAGCTCCCGCTGCTTGATTGAAAAAGGCCCCGCTGCTTAATTCGCATCCTCGACCACATCCTAAGGGGTCAGAAGGCATCTGAAGGGCTTCGGAGTCCCGACGGCTTCCGGCAGGTTCCCGTCCGTCGCTGGCGAAACTGCCCCAAAACGAACATCGGAAACTGACAATTCGGGCGGTGAGTGTAGGCCTGCCGTCAAGCACCATCCGAGAGGAGGAAACATGCCGGGCGAAAGAGGGTTCCTCATTTGGGTTCTCAACATTAGGGACCCGGTGAGGTGATGCTGCTACGGTTGCTTTCCCTGAAGGGGTTCCTCTATCTTGAGAACCCCTTCTCCCTTGTGGAAAGTCAAGAGGAAAGGCGACGTCGAAACCCTCTGACTTGGTACGGGACCCCCTTACTTCACAGAGGTGTCAAAAGCTTGGCCAAAGAAAAGATTACGCCAGGCTTAGGACAGACTGACCCTCTGCAGGTTTGTAAACTTCACAAACCTTGGTATGCCAAAAACTAACTGTTTCCATGAACGGAACAAAACAAAAACAAAACAAAAACGAACAACTGGATCCAGGAACAGTTGTAAGTAAATGAAAAAAAGGCGTGGCCCAGGCACAGACCAAGGCGGTTGCAAATCTCCGGGAGATACTTCCAGCCTCACCGAGTCCAGGCCTCTTTGGATGCAAATCAGCGGTTGCATCCCCAGCCCCCGCCATCACCGCAAGCCCATGGCGGGCGATTGCTGCGGGAGTTTCTCAACGCGCGGACAATGCTGAAGCTGGGTATGGGTGAAACTAGATATTGGGACCATTTGGACCTTAAACTCAGCATTTGGACCCTGAACATTTCCCCTTGAATCCAAACAGGGTGGCCTCAACAACACGCACCCCAGGTATGCTAGCTGCGGAACTTTGGTGCTGTGTCCTGAGCAGCGACTGGCTGCTGGACCTCTTGCAGAACGTGTCCTAAGCGCCCGAAAGCAGCTTAAATTGGGTCCATTGAAGTGACATCCTCAACATTTATTCGATTTCCCACTGAATCGTGAACGGTTTAATGGTTTAATCCCCCAAACGCAACCCCTCTCCCCAGACCCGCAACATTCACATTCAACCACTTCAATTGACAGAGTTGGACTGCCAGCTCGCCCGAAGCCAAAAGCGTTTCCCGAGAGTGCAACTACGCGCTTCAACTCGGGGCAAGTGGCTGCACGGCGTCCGTGAAACCTGTCAAAACACCTAGCCACAAGTCGCAGAGGCATGATCGCATCGGTAGCGTTTATGAGCTATCAGAGCGAGGAAGAACCTAAGTTCTGACAGAACCTTTGTGAATGCTAGTCCCTTGTGAGGCAGCCATGGTTTGCCCAGAATGATGAACATGCCCAACTGCCGGCACAGCTCGAGCACAAACAGCTGCCCGGGGCAAAGAAAAACGGGCCGGAACTACCAGGGCGTGACGTTGAAGCACAGACACTTTTGGTAGACATCATTTACAAGGGGTTTGTGCAACCCACTACTTTTAAAGGGGAGCCCCGTTAAATATCTAAGGAAAGTCATAGCCAGACCACTTACCCTGCAGGAGGCAATCCGCGGACCGCTGGAATTGAACCCATGCAAATGCTCAAGCCCAAATTCACACGCATCGAGCAATTGCTCTGAACATTGCTGGTTTGTGGAGTCCCTTGCTACTTGCAGGGGAACTGCGTCAATAGTCGACCCCTTCAAATGTTTGGTTTCGTTGTGGCATCTCACAATTATGTATATTGGAAAATCCGCAAATGGAGTTCGGCCAGGAAAACCGTTTCTTGGAACAGGCGCACGTTGTGCCCCTTAGAGCTACCCAACCAGGGTCACCAGCTTTCACCCGCTTTGCTTGAACCCCCACAGGCCGGAGAAAGAAAAGTGTGGAGCAAGCTAGGCAAAGGTGCACGCACAGCAACGCCTGCCAAAGAAAGCAACTGGATACCCATGCGGGGCCAACAAAACTAGATACGTGTTGCTCCCATGGTCAAGACTTGTTTGGTGACGAAGTCTCCCGCAATCTCATGCGTAGTTGTGTTGTTTTGAAGGGTTTGGAGCACATGCTGAAGGGTCCAAAAGTAGCTTGCCAGAATGTGCTTTTACTCATCTTGTTTCTGCAGCAACGTCATGTCCCTTCTGATCCAACAACAGACCAAACGACCTACCATCCCACCAAGAAACGTGGAAGTGCACGGACCCCAAAAATTGAACGACTACTCTGCTTATGACAAGGGTTTCGCCCGCATGCTTGCGTGTAAACACGCGTAAGTTTGGGCCTACTCTTCTGCCATCGTGCTTCGAGTAATCTCGTCTTGGAGGGCTTGACCTTCTTGAGTTCCATGTTGCTTCGCAGAAACGGAACCTGTTTTTTTTGTTTTACGGTCATGGAAGGGCTCGGACACGAGAGGGTTGGGTGGGGGTGAGGGGGGGGGGTGGGGGGTGAGGGGTGGGCGCTTCCATAGCTGCTACCCAGGATCAACCCCCTGGTCTCACTTCCTGAGCGGGCTGTCCAAAAAAGTGGCCAAACTTTTGTTTCCCGACATGTCAATGGTCCAACCCTAAACAGTGACTATAGAGTCCAACTCAGTCTGGGGGGGGGGGGGAAGGCTATCCCTGGATAAAACCAATAGGCGAAGGATAAGCCAAGGATAAGCCCTGGGTAAGGTTGTATGTGGCTCACATGACTCCCCTTCCCCAGACAAGCCCCAGGTCGAGTCCGTCGCATCGAACCTGAGGCACCCGGACCCTGACTTCGATCGAAGATGATGCCAGGGCTGCCTGGCAAAGGACTTCCGCCTTCTAAAAACCCACGTCCCATCGAGTGGATTGGCCACTCGAAAAGGTACCCAAACTGTTTAAGTTTACCGCTAAAATGGCCCTCCCAACCCCAAAAGGTTTTTAATTTATATATATATATATATATATGAAGTCCAGTCCAAGAACTCAGGAAGTGAAAAAAGGATCTGAGCATAATCTTAGGACCTGAGAAAAAATCGGCATCCTAGAATAGGCCCCTAAGGTTTGGCCAGCTGCGAATCCCCCATTCCTCAGTCTCAGAAATACAAGGTGGACCTCTAGTACTGTGGATGGACGAAATCCTGCACCACTTTGAAACCATGGGAAAACACAATTTGTTGGTATTTACAGGGAATCAGACCATTCCAGGGTTTCTTAGGTGGTGCAGGATTTGTCCATCCACAGTACTGAACCAAAATCGGAAAACCCAAAGGTCAAATCCGGTCGATTCGCTGGCAACGTGATCGGAACAGCTTAGCTTTCCAACGAAGCCATTTGAGGAATGTCCCAGACTTTTTGGGACAATTGGCAGACCCTAAGGATCCTTCTTGGAAAACGAGCACCTTACCCGGAAGCACGTGAGAGAATCCGAGAAGGGGTGGCCTGATCTACTCACTGCCTGCTCCAAATGGCGAGCCTCCAAATCGGAATTGCCACGAAAGTCGATACCACATGTGCTGAGGCCATTCCTTTTTCCCAAGGACCTGGACATAAAAGGTCATGAGTCATCACCTTTGTCAAAACTGGACCAAAACTGGAACGGTCAAAAGGTCGATTCGAATGGGGCAAGCGGCTGAGTTCTGTCAAAATCTAGGGTAGGGGAGTGCAACCGCTCAAACCGCCCAAACGGAAGCAAATCGCCACAGGGCTACTCCACCAACTGGCAAGATATAGAATCCCCTGCTGGTAGAAACGGACTTGTTCTCAGCATGTGAGGTTGCTTTACTCCCGGGTGAGCTCGCTTCAATGCATACCAGTTCAGAAACTGTGGTAGAAAAAGAACCTGACCCCTTTTTGAACTTCATTTGAGTAAGTCCCGAACCCAACCCTCTCCTGAGTGGACTGGCCAGAAAACGTCCCCAAACTTTTCGTGTCAAATGGTAACCCAAAAAGTGACTAAAGTCCCAGCTCCCGAACTCAGGAAGTGAGCCAGCTATGCTCAATAGCCATCCAAATGCACCGGCAACCCATAGAATGGGTTGCTGGTGCATCCTACTTGAGACTCTGAGGAAACCACACTTGCTGGTGCTCAGCCTGCTTAGGGAATGCGGGCATGACCAGGTTATAAACCATCCAGCTGGTGGTTTCCTTTAAGAGGACCCCTGCTCCCTCATTCCCTACCTATCGCACGAGCAAGATTAACGAAGCCCCATTTGCAGATGTTCCCACGTTTTTCTGGGCCGTTTTGGTGGATTCCAAGGACCCGTGTTGGTGAAGCATGTTCCCATCGGCAAAACGGGGGATTTTCAGAAGCCCAAGTTGCACTGCACTGGGCTCATGCCTGGGGCCTCCGGGGAAGACGCGCTGGACCTGGCTGCGAGTCCGAAAACACCCGCGACTCGGTAGAAACGCCCAGCCCGGCGCTCACGGGAAGCGCGCCACAAGCCAAACAAGAGAGTTCTGGTCCCAGAACTTAACGGAAAACACCAGGTGTCTACCCTGATGCGAACCCAACACCCATGAGGTAAAGTTCGCATAAACTGAATTTTGCTTTTTGGGTCTAATACGGAGAAAATCAGCTTGTTTCACTCAGTTGAAGTCCAAAGACCCAACCAAAGAGCCATAAAGGCCATGGCGAAATGCCGATTCAGGTGACCTTGTGAAGCCTCACCACTTGGCAATCAGATTCAGGTGCTCACTTCCGATCGAGATTGGCCGAACAAAATTCAACTAGAACAGTTTACCCCTAAAATGGTCCAAACCTAAACAAGTTTTAAAAAACAAGTGGTCCCAAGCACCTAACAGGCATAATTAAAGTGCTCCCAAGCACTAAAATGGCCCAACTTGGGAAAGGACCAAGGCCATGATGATGCATCCTCGTCGCCACCATGGCTCCTTCGTCTTTGAGATCAATTTCAGCCGACCAACACCCCCACAACCCCCCCCCCCCTGCCAACACACTGCAAAAATGGGCACCCTGCAAGGGTGGCTTTTCCATTTGTACCTGCAGTGCTCTTGTGTTTTGCCGTAGTGGGCACAAATGGACCAACCTTGGATTGTGCTGGTAAACAATCAACCCTAAAGACCTGACAATCCACATCCGCGGGCAGGCTCTCGCCCAGAGCGGTACAAAAAGAATCGGAACCGCGTTTAGGATTGATTCCAACTTTGGTCCAAACCTAGAAACCCACCACACTGAAACAGAAGGATGTCAGTGAACAAATGTGTTTTGGTCATGAACCTCACCTTAGCAAACATATTCCCTGAAGACCTGCAAGAAAGGCTCAGCAGCGGACCAGCCCTGCACCACGGATGAAAGACCCGGCGCTTCAGGTGTAGAGGTGCCAGCTAGGAAGCATCCCATGTTTTGTCCCCTTTGAAGCTGTGACCTGAGTTGACAAGCTTGATTTTCGGACCTTTCGGAGTCAAAAGAGGCGCAAAGCGAAAGTCTGCCACGCAAGCCAAAATGCCCCCCCAGACCCATAGTAGTTCCATCACTGCCCCATACCCTCCCCAAAAAAAAATCATGGAACCTGACAGGGGTAGTGGAAGACCATGTTCCTTTTCAAGGTCAGGTTCCATGTTAGTTGGTGGGGAGGGTGACCAATGGAGCATCCTCTCAAACGTGTGTTTGCGTGTGCGGTATGAGAGGCCTCAATGTTGCCGATCTTGAGAGAATTCAAATTGCCAAACCATCATTTCGGGGCCTGGGCCCGGCTCAGTTTCCCTTTCAAACCCCAACTCTCAGGACGAAACTGTCCGATTCGGTGGCCGGGATCTCTGCAAACCG